AAAGCCATTCGGCCATTTCGGAACAGTTTCCCCTTTCTTTTTACACCCCCTCCTCTCGAAATGCACCTCGAGCACGTCGAATTCGTGCCTCGTCGATTCCGTTTTCTTTTTCTTCGTCCATTTTCACCCCTTCCTCCCCTCTTCCTCCTTCGAATCTCTCAATACCCCGTTTAAAATACCCGCCGATGTTCAAAAAAGGTTGGGGTGGGTCGCGCTCGAATGCCAACACGGAGGGAGGATCGGTCGCGGTGAAGACATCGCGATACGATTGTTTTCGCCGTTGTGCGTTTCTCTTCTTTTTCCCCGGCAAAGAAAGAAAGAAAAAAAGAGAGCGGACGCGATCGTTTTCAAAGGGAGCTCGCGAGTCGAGAAGAAAAAAAAAAACTTGGCCGACCGCGGAAGTCTTCGCCACGTTCTTCTTTGAATTTAATTTTTCGCTTGGGGGAAGGGAGAGAAGCCTCGTAGCTGCGCGTGAAAAGGCATCGTCGAAAAGAAGAAAGAGAGGAGGAGATTCTCTCGACGATTCCTTTTTCTTTTCTTCTTTCTTTCTTTCTTTCTTTCTTTTCCCTCCTCCTTCCATCTCCTTCCGTGTCCTCCAGAAAAGAGAGAACGGAAACCTCCCCTCCACCCCCCCCGCGCTCGAATTATATTCGTTCCTTTCGAATTTCCGCGAGGTTTCAACGTTCGCAAGCGTTCAATATTATTATCGAATTTATCGCGCGGTTAAATAGGAGAGAATACGAGCACGAATGCGGGAACACGAAGGAGGGAGAGCGAGTGATGTAGGGATGAATCTACGAAAGAAGGAAGGGGGAAGGAAGGAAGGAAGGAAAGTAAGCTAGAAGAAGAGTTTATTATCGCTTGCGTCATCGTTTGATATGGGGGATAGGGTTTTTAAGTGTGGCGGTTGCAGCTGCATGAGGTGCATTGTTGTGTTTCAGTGCTCACCTCTATGCCGGGGCTGACCTTGAACTCTCTGAACACCCAGTCAGCGAAGAAGCTGTTCACCTGCCAGCTGTGCGGCAAGGTGCTATGCAGCAAAGCATCCCTGAAACGCCACGTTGCCGACAAGCACGCCGAGCGACAGGAGGAGTACAGATGCGTCATCTGCGAGCGGGTGTATTGCTCGCGTAACTCCCTGATGACCCACATATATACCTATCATAAGAGCAGACCCGGCGACATTGACATTAAGTTCTTTTGAAGGTTTAGATAAGGTAGGGACACGCAGACTCTCTCTCATCTACACCGCAACAACCGTACACATCGCCTCTCACGCCACATTTCCGCCCTCACTTCTCTTCTCCTCGTTTCACCACCCCTTTTTACTCACACCTCTGATCCGCACTGCTTCCACTGGAGTTGGAAGAATCGCGTAACAAGTCGTTCCGCGATTTCTCGGCTTCAACCTCGTTCCTTCTTCTTCGCTCTTTCGAGGAGAAAATGCATGCCAGAGAAACCGGTCCCAACCACTCCCCACGTGGTTCGACCCTTATTCCTCCTCCTCCTCCTCCTCCTCTTCTTCTTCTTCTTCTTCTTCTGCTTGTCTTATATATCCTCCTCTTGCGGCCCGAAGCTTTCGTTTCGTCCCAGCGTCATTTCGTTCCCTCCAATCCTGGTTCAGAACCGCTTTTCTTTCCTCTCCTCCCGTCGTCCTTCATTCTCTTCGGTACCGTACGGTCGCCGATCCAATTCTTCCGGTATTCGCCGCTCCGTTATACCCCCCGCCTCCCTCCTCCCCCTCCTCCTCTACGTCGGTGACTCGGGATCGACGCGTCGAGAGAGATGCGTCCTTCATCCGTTCGCGGCGATGGAATGAAGAAGGCACGAGAGCAGGAAGAAAAAAAAAAAAAATAATAATAAAGAAAAAAGAAAAATCGGAGAAAATCGTTCAATTGACCGATCGTAATGGGGTTGTTATATTATTATATAGGGTCGAGTTTTCTTTTTTTTTTTTTTTAAATTCTCGCTGACCAAAAGACGATGTAATTTCAGGGTGTAATTGCGCTTCAGGTTGTTCCCTTACTAACACACCACTCACCTCCCCCTTTGATTCTTTCCTTTTAATTTCTTTCCGTTTCTTTTTTATTATTATTATTATTATTGTTGTTATTGTTATTGTTGTAGTTGTTGTTGTTGTTATTATTTTGTACGTCTTGTGACTCTGGTAACTCTGTGATCGTTCGTTTCAATCTTATTATCTTTCCTCTTTTTTTAGGTTTCTCAAATTTCCCCTCCTTCCTTCCTTTCTTTCTATTTTAATTTCTTAGTCTTCTTAGCATCTTGATGTTCGATTTCACGTATGTGCATGCTGAATTTGTACCTTGTTCGAATGTTAACGCTCATGTTTTACAGCTTCTAACACAACGGAATGTCACGCTTTCGAAACGGTGGATCGATCGTCGACGAATCGTCGATCCGTTTTTTCAAACTGTCGAAGATTTTCTTCTTTCTTTTTTCTTTTCTTTTCTTTTCTTCGAGAAATTCGAATCGACGTAATTCTCGCCGATATCATCCTCTTTCATTCTTCTCATTATCGCTGCATGATGCCCTCTCCGTATATCTCGTTCGATTCATTCTCTTTCTTTTTTCTTTCTTTCTTTCTTTCTTTCTTTCTTTTCTTTTTCTCCGAACAAAATCGAAATAGATTTTCGATCCAACTAACCAAGAAAGCACGATTTATCGATCAACCCACGCACGCACTAGCGAATTTTCATCATTATTCAGGGAGGAGGAGGAGGAGAAAAAAAAAAAAAACGATCGCAGCTTGTTTTATTTGCACGATGCGATGCAACACACTTCTGCGAGTTTCGCTACTAACTCGTCCCTGTTTTCTTTTCTTCCTTTTTTTTCTCTCTCTCTTTCATTCCGGGAAACTAACCGGGAACGGAATCGAACGAACGATCATATCACGCGGTCTGGCATGGTGGTTTTGGTTCCTCTTCATCTCGACTAATCAAACGACTCGGTCAATTAACGATATTATTATCCCATGGAATATCGCTTACAATTCCATCCGATGTATATTATCGATCGGAGGGAGAAGGAAAAAGCTTAATCCTTAATTGATCCCGAGACAGCTGCCCAGCCTTTGAATTAAAATCCCCCGAGGCGAGGTCGTCTCGAGGAGGATGGAACGAGGAGATTGTTGTATCTGCATTCGAGGTCCCTACGATTACTAATTACTAAAACACACCGTTGCACTCGTTGCACGTCTCTAACACGTCTCTAACACGAAATCCCTGTAAACGACCGATAAACGACATCCTTGATACTCCTCGATACTCGCGCGATACATACTTGCTTCTCCCCCTATTTCGAGATATTCGAGATATATATATATATACATTTATATGGGGTCCCGTAATTTATATGGGGACTCGTGTTTCGCGCAGTCGAGCGAGAACAACGTTACGTTCTTACGTTTTGGACGATGGTGAGAATGATCGAGAGAGATTTTGATCAGAATTGTTAATTGTTATCGATATAATTGCAGAAGAATCGATAGTAAAATAGTGTTGTTTGAAATTATGGAATCGAGATACAATCACCGATAGAGAAATCTTTCTCGATCTCGAAAGAAGAACGAAGGGTTGTTGCTCGTCGCCGCGACGCGAATGCGATGATAATACATTTCTGACGCGTGACGGACGTTTTCAGGTACGGGCAACGGGATGCATCCAGCACCGGTGACGCCTCCCTCTGCCATGTACCGGATGCCGCCGCCTACGGCGGGCGGTATAAACGAGCCTCAGGAATGCCCGTACTGCCGTCGCAACTTCTCATGCTACTACTCCCTGAAGCGTCATTTCCAGGATAAGCACGAGCAATCGGACACCCTCTACGTATGCGAGTTCTGCAACCGCAGGTACCGCACCAAGAACTCGCTCACCACGCACAAGAGCCTGCAGCACCGTGGCTCGAGCGGTATGCTCAAGAGGCTGCTCAAGACGACGGCGATCAAGAACGTTCTAGGCAGCATGCAGCACGCCCAGATGCAGCAGCAGCCGCAATGAAAATGTCGGAACAGCCGTCTTCTTACAGCCTGCCCCCCGTCCCGGACACCGTGCAACAACACCGTGATCCTCATCATCATCATCGTCATCATCATCATCATCGTCATCGTCGTCATCGTAATCGTCATCACCATCGCCGATCATCTCGCGCGGCGATGCGTGATCGGCCACCGTCATCGATCCTCGCGGACCAAAACGCGACGCTGCGACGCATCTGGATACATCGAGGAGCAACGAGGAAGAACGCGAGGCCGAGTTATCGTCGCCGTTTATAATTATTATTATTATTATTATTATTATTATCATAATCGTCCCAATCTCCTTGTGCCTCTCCAGGGACTGGATGGACGAGGAACCTCCTCTCCCCCCCTCCCCCCCGCCCCTTCGGGGACGAAAAACAAGGAAGGAGGAAGGAAGAAGAAAACGGGACGACTCGAGACCCGCACCACCTACTTCCGCCTACACCTACACTTACTTCTGTGGATTCGAGTCGGCCCACTACTCGTTTGAGTTCGTCGCTCGAAACGGGATCGGAGGACGGCTCCTCCCCTCCCTCCTCCCCGGCGTTCATTAGCCCCCCTTCATTAGCTCTCCTCAAGACTGCGATTAATCCAAAGAAGGGAGAAGAAGAGAGGAACAACGAGACTCTCGCCTCGGTCGGCGAGGGGGAGGAGAGGTTCCATCTTTCTCTCTCTCTCTCTCTCTCTCTCGCCTCGCCGTGAACAGGGAATACATTCCACATCCCAGCTCTCGACGGGGCTTTCCAGCCCGAGCGGCGGATTTTTGACGAGGGAACGCCTGCCCCCAATTTGACAATCGGTCCCCCGATCAATGATTCTTGGTCACTTTGGGACTGAGGGGGAGAGGAGAGGGAGAGGGAGGGCGTGACGACGTTCGTGCGACGTTGGCGCGCGGTTAAACGCGGGCAAAGGAAGGGATGGAAGGAAGGAAGGAAGGAAGGAAGGAAGGAGGGAAGTCGTTCGATGAGGAGAATATATCGCGTGTGATATCGCGAGTGTACATAAGAATGAGAATCCACGTCGATATATGATTTTTTTTTTTTTTTGCCTGTTTGACGCGTTTCGTCGATCGTCAGAGAGAGACCCCCCGACGAAGGCATAGTCCCGCGAACAATCATGTCAATTTTTTAACGAGTATATATATATATATATCTCTTAGCTAGACACGAGACACAGACGAGGAAGGAAGAAGGGTTTGGAAAAATGACGAAGAGAGAGAGAGAGAGAGAGAGAGAGAGAGAATGAGTGAATGGGTATGCGAGTATGAGTGTATACGTCGCTGAAGTTTGTACAACACGCGCACAAGGAAAGTTAGGGAAATGAAATTCGTGGTATATAAATTCGGAATATCATTTTTTTTGGAAATATCGTTGAGGATATCGTGGAGGATATCTTAGGCCTAAATGTAAAATGAAATTCAATTACAAACAAAATGTGCTCAAATTTCGGGAGGGGGGGGGGAGGGGAAAGGAAAAAGGAAAACTGGGTGAGGGAGGAAGGAAGTTGTCGAACGTCGGGTCGGGAAAGGAGGAGGGGGAAGGCGAAGCGTGGAGCCAGCGTGTGGAATGGAGAGAGAGAGAGAGATTAGAGAGGATTGTTCGCGTGTAATAAACGTGGAAATAACGATAGATAGGGAGGAAGGAAGAGAGGGGCAAGTTTAGAAAAGTGCAAGTTTAGAGAAGTTTAGTTTGGGCTCTTAAGAGAAGAAACGTGTACAGGTCCGTCGTGCGCGCAAATTACAGACTATATTTTTAACTCTTTAAAAGTAATAATATTTTGAACTCGTGTATATATATATATATACATATATATACATACACACATACATACATACATACATATATATATATATATATATTATATTCATAACGATATTGATAACGATGATATTCTTCTTGTTCAGGTTTTATAAATGAATGGGGAACGAGTGAAAGGGGAATGAAGAATATAGCTCGACGTAGATAATGCGATAATACGAAGGACGAACGGGCAGGGCGGTGGAGGGCGGTCACGAATCACCACTCCGCGTTTTTTCGTCTTTCGTCTCGTCCGCGATCACGCGGCTCATTTAACGAATGAATGTGCAATATTATTATACGAGTAAGGAATGGGGGTGGGGGGAGGCGGGGAGGGGGAGGTAAATTTGAGGGGACGCTTTTTTCTTGGGAAAAAAGAAGAAAAAAAGAAGAGAAAAGAAAGAAAGAGCGCAGTTCTCGAGCAACACTTCTTTTTTTTTTCCACCTTTCTCGTTTTTAAGCGGAAAAAGACTGGGGGGGGGAGGGGGAAGGGGGGAATCCGATTAGGCCAAAGAAAAGATTTTTATTTGGGGTTGGGGGAGGAGAGGTTTGGGGCTGGGGATGAAGAAGCGAGTGTTGCGGCGGTACGAGCAACGATTTCACAACGCTGTGTGGGACACACCGTCGAATCGACTGCCCTGCCCTTTTCTTTTTAGAATCTTCGACGAAGCACACACACACACACATAGAGAGAGAGAGAGAGAGAGAGAGAGAGGAGAGAGAGAGAGAGAGAGAGAGAGAGAGAGAGAGAGAGAGAGAGAGACGAGA